AACGACTTCCCCCTATACTATAACTTATGTTAAAATTGCTACTTCGCTATCTTCAAAAGATCTTGACTATTTCCTCTTACCAGGTTAATCCATTTTTATAAATTTATTTATATATATATTAATTCATTATTATCTATCATTCTATTTTATATTTTATTCATTTGTTTATTATTAATTATGAGATTTTTACTGAGGAGGCACATAAACTAATTCATAAGATTCTCTTAAATATTTCTCATCATCATTTTAATCTGTCTCTGTCTCTTCTGTTTCTATAACAGGCTTTTCTTATTTATAATTCCTTTTCATATCATGTCTACCCTTATAAAATTTCTATAAATGTTCTTCTTTTTTGTTTCTTCTTTCCATAATTTATTTTTTCTTCTCTTCATCCTTCTGATTATTAAGTCTTTATTATTGTTTCTCTTTTTTAATTTTTTTCTCTGCTTCAATAAAGTCTGTTTTTGTTCTTAACAAAAATTACAATTTTTATTCAGATAAATCAATTACTATTTTTTCTAATTACTATATATTCTAATTTTTATTACATTAATAACTTATTTAATAACTTTTGAATCAATCTATAATCTCTTTCCTAAAATATCTTAATTCTTTGTAGCTTCTTATTAAATTTCTATGATTTTCTTTCCAATTTTATCCATATCTAAATCTTCTCCTTCTGCAAATTATAATTTTGTTTAATCTACTTTTTCTTAATCTTTTAATTAATTTTATATTTTTAATTATGCTTTCAATTTTCTTTCTTCTGCTTTCAACATTTCTAAATGTTCATCTTATTCATTTTTTAATTTTTATTCTAATTTCTCTAATTCTCTTTTCTTTTATTCAATATCTTCTTCTGCATCTCTTTAATTTTAGATATTTCTTAAATTACCCTCTTCAATATTATTAAGAATCTCTATTACTAAATCAGCCATTCTTTCTTATTATCTTTCTGCTTCAATTTACTCTTATGTTTATTTTTATTCTTCTCTTTAATCTACTCCTGTTACAAAAAATTAATTCTTTTATTCACTTTATTAATTAGAAAATAAGTTGATATCTTTCTTCTCAAATTCTGAAAATTTTGTTTTATATGTATCCTATATTAATAATATTTTTTTAATTTACTTTAATTTTCTCTAAAAATTATCTATATTTATCTAATTTTTCAAATTCTTCTCCATATTTTGTTTTCTATAATTTTAATCTATCAATTTATGCTAATATTTTAGCAACTTCTGTTTTGACTTCATCTTTTTTCTTTGCTTCTCTATCAGCTTAATAAGCAGCTTAATCAGCTTAAAATTTAACTTCATTCATAAACTTTTTCACTAATTCACAATCATTTTTAAAATATAATCTTCTTGCTCTTAATGATTCTTATTCATTCTTTATAAAATCTTCTAATCTTTCTGTTTCTTCTTTTTTTGTCATAATATTTAAATTTGCTAAACATATTTCTCTTTTCTTTTCAATAAAATCTGTAATTGTTTCTCTTTTTTCTCTTAATATTGATTTAATTCGATATTTTTTCTTTTTCATTTCTTATAATTCATAATCTTTCTTTTTATCTTCTTTTCCATAAATAGTTTTTCTAGCTTCATCATCTCTATATTCCATTAATTTTGGATTAAAATGTTTTATGTGTTAAGCTATTTCATCTATTTTTTATGGTTAATTAGGATCTCTCATTTTAGCTTCATTAGCAAACATCTCATCTCTTTCTTATGCTAATTTATTTGCTATTAATAATATATGTCAATTTATACTTTAATCTTCTAATTTTTATAACAGTCCAAATCTTGTTGATTTTGCACTTGTTTAATATAATTTTTAAGTATGTGGAACTTGTTTTTGTTCTTCATCATCATCATTATATCCAGAATTACGTTCTTTTTCCAACTTTTAAAGAAACTTTTTAGAATCCAACTCAAATTGAAATGGATTTTCTTCTTATGTTTATTATTATGCTTAATTCATATTAAATAAATAAAAAATAATTATGAATATTAGAATTTGTAAAACAAAATGTTTATTATCAATATGGGATATGATTAAAATAATGTAATAACACATTTGAAATACATAATATGGGAAATTAGAAATTTGTCTCAAAAAATAATCAATTTTTAAGAATAAATATTTTAATTTAACTGCTAATAAAAATGTCTAATTAACCATTTTAAGTATATTTGAGAATCAAACCTTTGTTGGAAAGCTGGTAAAAAGTGCATACTTATTCATTTAGTACAGAAACTTTAATTGAAGATTTGAATGACAATAGAATTGTAATTAGAAAAGATGGTAAAAATAGTAAATCCTTTGTATTCGATAAGATATTCAGTGGTGTTCAAAATAATGAGGATATTTTTGATCAATCATTAAGAGTATATAAATATATATTTAAAATAAAAGCATAATCTGGATCACTTTGTTGAAGGTTACAACACAACAATTTTAGCATACGGTATAACTGGTTCAGGTAAATCTCATACTATTTTTGGAAATGAAAAAGATGAAGGATTGTCATTTAAATGCATTAATTATCTAGTAAACAGAATGAAGTACATGAGGTTAGTAAGCTGAATATAAATTATTAGTCCAGAAGCTAATGTTCAAATGGAAATGAGTTTTATAGAAGTCTACAATGAAACTATAAGAGATTTAATGTCAGACTAACCAAAACCACTTATGATTATGTAAGACAATTAAAAAGGTTCTTACATTTAAGGTTTATAAGCAATTAAAATTAACAGTATAAATGATGTATTCTTTTGTAAAATAAACCATTAGGTGAAAGAAGGCATAAACATTGCTAATTAAAATCGAAGTTTAGCTTAAACTATATACAATGTATATTCATCAAGATCACATGCATTAATATAATTTAACTTATCTTATTGTTTTGAAGGGTATTGTTAAATATTTATTATTATCATTTAGATAAACAATTACACCAAAACTCTTTATTGTTGATTTAGCTGGATCAGAACGAGTCTATTAAGATTAAAAGAGTAAAAATCAATAAGAGGGTTCCAATATTAATAGGTCTCTTTTGGCTTTGAGTAATTGTTTGACTATTTTATCTGATAAAACTAAGAAAAATTAACATATTCCATATAGAAACTCAAAATTAACAAGATTATTATAAGATTCTCTAGGTGGTAATACTAGAACTATAATGATTTCTTGTATATAATAAAATAAATGTCAATATGATGAAATATTAAACACTCTATAATATAGTAGTAGAGCTACTTAAATAAAAAAGTAAGTTTAAAAGTCTTTGCATTAATAAATAAGTGAAGAAAAGATCATTATACATTCAAACATCAATGATTCTGAGATGAGTACAAAATAATTATATTTAACTAAAATCTATAATGATATTTATAGTAATATTGAAGAGTATCATGAAATTAATAATTCACTTATTGAAATACAAAACAATATTCTATAAAATTAGTATTAAATAGAAGAAATTTATTCAATGAGTTTGTAAAATAACTTAAATTCAATTAATGATGATTAAATGTATCATAATCTAATGATTGCTCAAAAATAAAATTAGGAAATAGAATAATAATTACAAAATGCATTAAAAGTCAATTTAAAATAAAAGTAACTTTAGAAATCCTTATTACTTCAAATAACTGAGGAATAATAATAATATATAGAATATTGGAAAATAAAATATGAAGAATCACAAAAAGAAATATCTGAATTAAAATAAGTACTATTAACAAAAGTAAAATTATATTATAATTATCAATTAGAATGAAGATATATAATCAAAAGATTCATAAATTTAATCTTTATAATTATTATTAGATTAAATAAAGACAAAAAATCCATCTATATATACAACTAATAATGATTCTGATTGTTCTTACCCTTCATCATTTGCTTCATCAACAAGTACTTCTTAAATCAAAAAGAAATCATCATTAACTCATTTAAATATATAAAATACCTTATCCTAATAATCCTAATTATTTGAAATGATCGATCGACCAAGATTTTCAAATTTATCTCATATAAAATAAATATTAGCTTCGAGAGAACGTTCTCCAGTAAACTCAATATTTAGATAATCTCCAATTAGATCCCCTCTAAGAAAAAAACCATCAATTCGAAATATTAGTAATAATCATTATATATATTAGCATCTATATCGAAAGTAGAATAATCAGAAATATCTTAGATTTCCTCAATTAAAAAATCTAGACTTATAAATGATCCATAAATAACAACAATCAACCTATATGGAAGTCAATACATAAATTTGATAGATAAAGAAAATATTTCATGATATTATTATTTTTATAACTTAAATAAATAAATCATATTGTAAATTATATATATCTTATTAATAAAAAAAATGAATTATCAACATATTATTATATATTCTGCATTTAATGTAGTGAACATTAACAATTTAATTCAAAACAGTTAATTATTATAATTATAGTATATAATGAAATTTTTAGAAATTATAATTATTTGTCCTTTGGTTTAATCAAAAAATAAATTATTATTCAAATTTACAAAGTAAGGTATCTAAAATATAAAGAAAATATATTCCAATTATGAATAAACTTTAACCATATAAATAAGACGAAAATTTAAATAATCTTTTATGGATTATAAAATAAATCCAATAATTATTAATTCTAATTAATACATAAGAATAAATACATAATATTTAAAATAGGTTGTACTCTTTTAAGTTTTTAATTTCTTTTCAATGATATATAAAATATTTGTTAATCTTCTTTATAACCATCAATAAAATATGAATTAAAATTCATATCTAATATATCTCCATAATTTAATATTTCATTTTTTAAAGTTGAATATTAGTATAAATTTGGGTAATACTATTAGACTTATGTAAAGAAAATATTTGAAAAGTTTAAAATGATTATGATTAGTTATTACTGTAACCATTCTTAAACAAATGGAATCGCTTAATTTATCTAATAATTTAATAATAAATGAATAGTAGCTAAAAAATTAGAAAGGGTTCTCGTAACATGAAGTATGAATAAATTTCACTTTAGGTATAAGAAAATATCACACGAACAAAGAAATTAAATAATAAATGAGTTAACCAAGAATGGAAAGACACTGAAAGAAGTAAATAAGTTTATATTTTAGTATAGGTTTCTGAAGAAACTTAGTTGAAACCTTCTACTGTCAAAGCTATATTGTAAGTCTATCTAAAAGAAGGGAGAATTGGAAAGAAATCCACTAGAGATAGAAAGGTGAAATTGTTAAATACAACAGTAATTGCCTTAATTGACAAAACTAAGTAAAATATTTTGTTATGTTATTTAAAAGAAACAGTGATTATGCAATAGAGAATCTCTAGTTTATTCATCCTATGATCAAAATAAACCAATAGTCTTCTGAAATATCACATAATGGTTAGACTCTGACTGAAACTTAATAGAAGCTTGATTAATATTCAAAATAACTAATGATGACTTAAGTAAGAGACTTCCTTAGGGAAAAGAAGCAAGAAATATTAGAACAATTAGTTAATCCATAAGCAAAACAGAATTTTCTTAATTAACTTGCCCAATTTGAAGTTGCTGACTAATTACCCTTTCAAGAATTAAAAAAGGAGCATTTATAAGTTGAGGATGAATAATTAGTAGAAAAAATCACTCAACATTTAAAATCTAAAGTAAAACTATGATTTTATAAATACATATGTTTTTTATATAAATCATATTAAATTAGTTGTTTTTGGTTATTCATACAAAGATATTATTTACCCATTTTCATAAGCAATAATAAGAATTCTTTGAGTATTTACTATATTTAAAATAAATTGTACATTGTATAAATTAGCTACATGAAATTTGGGAAGTCAAAAATTCTAAATTTTTAGTATTAGTTAATTCTTTAACTTTTCTCAATTAATTAGTGTCCATTTTGATTTCCATATCTTCTAATTTGTATTTCTTGAGACAATATTAATTAAAATCATCTGTTTTTTTCAATTAAATAATAGATGTAATAAAGATTGTACCATCATAAGTAAGGATTAACTAAATATCATATAATTATTACAATATCAGGTGAATATTCATTAAGTATATTAATTGATATGATATGATCTAATAATTTTCTAGAAAGGAATAGTTCCCCTTATAAAGTATAAATAATCAGTTTGTTGGATTAAGAAATCAGAATAAATCCTGATGGATGAATTTTAATTTAATGACAATCATTTAATGATGTTTCAATTAATTTTAAAAATGCTCCTTTTAGAGTATGTATGAGAATGTCTCCTTTGAGATCATAACTTAGAATAATTTATAAAATCTAATTAACTTATATAATAGAGACTTCGTTTTAATGTCCATATAATATAAATTCTGGTTAATGTGATAATGTCCATTCCCAAACAGATATTCTTGTATCTCTACTACCACATAATAATTTTGTAGAACTTTTACCTAAACTAGTAACAACTTTAGTATGGTATAATACAGAACATGTTAATTTGAGATCTTTAAGAGAATAGACTTTTACAGAATTATCAAAATATCCACCAACCACTAAAGAATCATCAAATAATAAGAATATATTATCTTGATTAAATTTTAATTGTTTAATTTCTTAATTGACAAAATCTTTTTATATTTTATGACTTGTTATTCTATTTTCTATATTGAAAACATGAATTTCTTATTCATTTGTTATTAATACTAAATATTTATCATTACAAAATAGTTGATCAATTTCAATATTTTATTTATTATTCATCAATGTAATTTATTTAAATTACAATAATGGATCATTTAATTTTGAATATTATTTTACTGGATGATCTTTTTTAAATAATTATTATGGAGTTTATCCATAATAATATACTTAAGTTATATATTATTCTTTCAACTTTTCATCATTAGTCTTCTCTAGTAATTACTAAACATAATTACTATAAGTTAATCTATGATATAAATTATTGTATTTTTAAGCATTCATTCCACTTTTATATCCAAATATTAAATCAATCCAATTATGTAAATTATTACTTACATACTCACTTTCTAAAACTAATCTATTCAAAAATATCATCTCTTCTGGACTATTTGTATTTATAAATTAAGGTAATGTTACATCACTAACTACAGTCCCTGATTAAAGTTATCCTAAATCAAATTTATTCTTATTCTTTAAAAATTCACTAAAATAGAAAAACTCTGGTATTAATTCTTTAACATCACTGCTTGAATTTGTAACAGAATGCCATTATTATTCTAAAGAATGAAATAATCTATCTGCTTTATCAAATCTTCCAGATTACAACTCTTAATGAAGTGAAGCAAATGGTTCCATTCTCATTAAAAAACTCATAACTATTGCACTATGAGAATAATGAGTTCCATAAATAAAGTACATATTCATATCTTCTGGATTTGCTTACTTAAATCTTTCTAAGAAATTATCCAATCTCTTTTAATTGATTGCTCCAATAGGAATATCAAGTTTTCTATAATGATCTTTATTTTATATATCGAAATCTACATAATTTGCTATAACCCATGGAAATATTGGATACTAATTTAAATCATTATATGTTCTCCCTCCCCATTTATTAACTTCATTCAAATATTAGAAATTTGTAATATCTCCCTTTCTCCATTTCTCAATTATACCACTCTTTTTAAATTAATCAATTGGATTCATTATTACATTACAAAACTATGATAAAACTTTCATAACTATTTGTCTTTGTTCAAAAAGATTAAACAAATAAGTTTTATTATTATTAGTAAATAATTCAATGGCTATTGGTTGAGCCAAATAACTTCTTGGAAAAACTTCTTTAATTTAAGACAATGGTATTAATTTCTGCTTTTCTGCTTTTAATAAACTATCCTTTTAAAATTTATATTGAACATCTTGAAATTGAATATCTAACCCAAAATTCTCAAACATAAAATATTCATTAGTTATTCTTATTTTTCCTCTATAGAATCCTCTCTAAGTTATTAATTCTGCAATATATCTTTGATTTTCATTATTAATAAATTTATCCTTCTATTGAATTATTTATTATGCACTATATAGATCACTAAAAATATTTTATGCTGTTTTAATTAATTATATATGTTCATATGTTTTTTTTTATTTAGCAAAAACTTTCAAAAACATTTTCCTTCTCATACTATCTTCATAACTATTTATTGAATATCTTTCTTTTCCTAATAATTCCAAAAATGTCTCTAATTTTTCATGATTTAATTGCTCATACAAGTGTGCATCCCCATAATTCATAAAATACCACAATCCTCTTTTATGTGTATTTTATTTATAATGTAATTTAACTTTGAATTATATTATAAGTTATTTTATCATCAATTCATTTTCAAATTTTTATATTATTAATAAAAACTCTTGTCTATATTGATTAAATAGATTAGATGAAATTTTTGGAAAGTCATATAATTATTATTAATACTAGGATTGTTATAATATTGATTATTAATTATTTAGATTGATAACAGTATTATCAATTTGATCAATACTTTAATTATTTAATAAATAGATGTTTAATAGAATACTTAATTCTTAACCAAATTATATTTGTCTAAATGAATACAATTTAAGATAAACACATGCTTTTTAAATTAATTCTTCTTATTCCTTAAATAATTCTAAATACTTCAATGGTGAATTCACTTTATTTAAAAGATCTAAAAATTTCTTAGCATCATTACTTAATTTACCATTTAATTAAATTGCTGATTCTATTTATTGACTTTATAAATTAAATTAAGTAATAATCTAATAAGCTCTATTGTTTATATCTTCAAATGATGTAAGAATTGATAATTATTCTAAATTAATTTTAGTTGATAATTGATCACCATAATTTTATAGATTGTTTGAGTCAATGATGGACCAAAGAGATTGAAAGTTTAAAAAATTATCAAATTTAAACTTAATATAAGTAAAAATATCATATAGTTCTTCTGAATATTATTTAGATATCTATTAGAATTTTAATACATGATATAAATGTATATCATAAAAATATTTATCGTATTGAGTTAATTGATATTCACCTAACATTGTTTGTTTAATTTTTTACATTAATGAAGATTTTTATGATTTAATTTTTATTTTCTTAATTTTCATTTATAAATTTGGAATTTATTCATCGTTTATTAATATTTAAGAATTATGTTGAAATTAAGATTTTTATTTTTCTATCAATATTTTCTTCCAAATAAGTAATAACTACTTCGCTTCCTTGTTTTAAATTAATAATTCTAATGAATAAAATAATATAAATAAGACAACTCCCATCACTCCTCCATTAGGATAAATATACTTTTTAGATACTTCAGTTTACAAAAAACTAAAAAATGGTATTGGATCATATTCATAATATCCTATAAATTCAGTATCAGGATAAAATGAATATAGAATGTTTTATTTTTATAAATAGGTAACATATTCATGAAATACCTTAACAAATAATTCTGGATCACTTAAGATCAACTCTTAATTTTATGTTAAAGCAGTTGGTAAGAACATAAATAAATCTAATAATGCAATTTCTGATTTTGGATTTTATTTATTATTAGTGTTATTTTAAAGTAACAAAATTGTCAATATGACCTTCATAAATTAATTGTTTTGCTATGGTATCATATTAAATAATTTCAATATTTTCTTGGCTGAAAAATCAATATTTTCTATATGATGTAATATAATATAATTTATTAATGTTTAACCAATATCTATATTAATCAAATCTTTAAAGAAATTCATTAGTTCTTTATGATTACACAATTAATTCATAAATACTTTATATTACAAAGATTGAAGAAAGAATTCTATGATCAATTATTTAGTTTCAAGATTATATAATGTAAAATGTAATAGTAATAAATTTAAAACTTCTTTTTCTAAATTTAATTCTTATTTTAATACCAAACTTGATAACTAATCTAAATAAATATTAATATTATACATTAATTAAAACCTAAAATGTTTGTTAACGACAAATAATGCTGCTACTTATTTCAAATAAAATATAATTGATTTTAATGAATAATGACTTTAAAGCACTGTATTCTTTTGTTTTTTATTATTATTATGAGTTCTTAGCTTATTATAGTTCTATTAATGTATATTCATAATTAATTTAGTGAACTTGAACTTTTACTAAAATTTCCATTAATGGACCTAATAATTGATCATCTAAAGTATTTTAATTGATCATTTCAATAATTACACCATAAACAACTTTGAATATAATTTATAAAATAGTATCATCATTCTCCATCTTTAAAACATATTAACTCTACATTACATCTAAAAATGATTCCTTTTGAGATGATTAATTACCTTATCTAATATCAGTTAATAACTCTAAAATTAAACTAATTTATGGTTTTCTAACTGTAAATCCCAATAAAATCACTATATCATTAATATTTTTTAAAGTGATATGATTCAATATCAACATAATTTCATTTTTTAGTATTTATAAATTTTCACTTGATTAATACTTTTTATCTCTAATAATCATCTGTATAGGTATGATTTAATCATTACTAAATTACATTTAAAAAAAAGGATTGTACATTAGGTATAAAATGCATTTTAATAAGATCTTTCTAGTTTAGATATAATTTTATTAATCTCCTTTACTCTCTTCATAAGATATTA